CTGTTGTCTATCGATAAAGTTTACTATTGGTTCTGTGCCCTCTGTCCTCCTGATATCATCATTCCTAAGTCGATCTTTCCTTGTTATGAGTTTATTTTTTAAAATTATCTTCGCATTTACAATGCTTTTCATACAAATAGATTTAATTCTTAAAGTTAGGAGTCCATTCATAGAGTGCATTCAAACAATACATATTAGTTTCCATTTCATTTATATTATATTCCATTTATACAAATTAGATCCCATTTGTAAATTTTTTAGAAAATATGGCAATGTATGTGAAACATTTTTTGTGTGTGAATACTAAGGATTTTGTAATCATCCTCATCATCATTATGTAGCAGGTCGTTTGTAGAATGTCACTGTCATCACAGTCTCCCTGAAAGCTGCTTGATCCTTTGCAAACTGTCTACCCTAATAAATTTTTATGCCCAGACTGTCCTTAATATCCTGTTTCCACTGCCATGCTTTCATTAAATTGTACATGTGCAGAATAGAGGAAAATAAAGGGTATGATAAAATCACTAGTGTGGAGCTAAGGTAGAGAACTGAAATTTCAGTGGATCAAGAGGTGAAGAAAAGACACTGGGGTTGGATGGGTCACACACTGAGAAAACCTGAGAATGGGATAACTAGAATGCCTTTGCACTAGACCCACGGGGTCATAGAAATAAAGACACACTGAAAACGGATGCAGGAGGGAGGTAGAGAGAGAAGTTAAAAAGATGGGGGGAGGAGGAAAAACATGATATAAGCTGCATGTAATAGCACAGGATAGGACAACTTGATGTGAGTTAGTTGAGGTCCTGTGCTGCATTGGGGGATGAGAGTCTGAAGAGGAAGAATTATGTGCTGTCACCCCCTGCCTCTTCTTCCAGAAACCATACCTATCATTCTATTTCATCTCATTTGTTTGCTTTGCAAATGGGAATTTCAAGGAATTCAGTTATTCCATCAGTCCATGGCTTGCATGGTCAGCCTCTGCTTCACTTCCTGCTCGGTCTGTACACCATTGCTTGCTGTGGTATACAATTTGTTGACATCTTTGTTATAAGGCCAAACCATTTCACATGTTGTTTTCTAATAAAATCTAGAGATGCAGAAAAAGTGACAGTCCTGATAAGTAGAACTAGTTAACTTCACAGTGCCACAGTTACAAATAATTTTCATTGATGTGCACTTTAAACCATGATAGTCAGAGTATTTTAATTTCTAGGAAACATTACTCTTTGTGAACCATTTCTAGTCCGTGTTCAGATACTGAGGTTAGATCATGAAGGGTGTCCATATTTTCGCAGCTAATTTATATTCATTGAATTGTCATTGGTTGAAAAATGTCTACTGGATTCTATTTCCTCAGGTTGTTCGTGGCATCAAGTTCGGAGAGTACAGGTGTGACAAGGTAAATTGTCTTATATGTTATTTTACTATAGTAGGCCTTGTTGGAACATCATTTCTGAGTTGTTCTGAATTGTGAACTTTTGTATTTTCCCTCGAATAAAAGAAACAGAGTGCCTGTGTTTTTTGGTCATGCGATGAGAAGTAATACATTAAAGGCAGGCAGATAAAAACCCATTAAGGTAGATAATTAGAGAATGATATAAACACATGGAGAGATTTGGGTTTAACTACTTACTGTTACCCCAGGGAAAATAAAAATAATAATAATGGATACTCAGTTAAATTGATGGGTCTGCAAAGTAAACATATATTAGTAATAGCAACTGCATCATTTAAACAAGTTGTGATCAGACATCTTCTCCAATGTTATAACCACTTTTAATTTTATAGTTGTTTCCAACACTCAACAGGTATTATCCATTTGACAGAACTGTAGCTTTTTTTCTATAGCTTAGATATTTGTTGTCTTAACCCACTCTGCAACGGGCTTTATCTATCTACGGGTAGATTTCATGTAACAGTGTTACTTTGAATAAGGGCCTTATAGTCTATCCCTTGCTCTTTCCAACTCATAAAGGATTTTCTGTATGCACTTCTTTCACACATTACCATCTGAATGTTCCTGTCTAACTGTCCAAGCAATCAGAAGAATAATTATAATCTCATTATAATTAGTAGAGCTTTTAAAAACTACCTTCAAATGGGATTTGAATCTGGAAACTTCAAAATCTAAGGCTGCACTACTCCTTTTACTTGACAAAAAATTCTTGAGACAGAAAAATTTAAACATTTAGACAGCATCTGACTGACGTTCATCCCCACCAGGACCAATGAGCAACTGACACCTGGTGACACAAAGTGCCACCATTCGGATGAGGATCACCCTGGCACAAGTCCCAGAAATCCTGTTCAACCATTAGGTTATATTAGGGCCCCACCGACAGCAGCCAGAGTGGGGCTTTAAAGTAAAAAAAAAATTTGCATCCTAAATTGCGACAGGGAGTTAGTATGGCAGACATTGTATTGACTAACTGAAGACTTTATAACCAGTTACTTGATGTAAAATGAATTCCAAAATTGTAATTTCAGGATGAAGATTTGGCCATGATAGCAGCCCAGCAGTACTTTATTGAGTATGGAAACCAGGTGGAGCCACAGCGTCTGCAAACTTTGTTGGCCTCCTATATTCCAGACTCTTACCTGCAGAAATCCAACTCTCAACACATGTGGATGAATGCTATCATCGGCAAGCTCCAGAGCCCCTATTTTCAGAATTCAAAGATGGAACCTTCTAAGGTAATGGATGTTTATTGGCCTTTTATATATTTCATTGCATTTTGTCGTCTTTGGGCTTTATTTCAGTTTGTTTGTAGCTTTGTTTATTACATTGTTTTTTATTGTTTTTATAGGTTAAAAAAAAAAACAGCAACAAATTAATAGAGGCAGATGTGCAAAAGTGGAGAAAAAAAAGTGAAAGTGGTAAAAAACAAACACTCACACGGAGAATTAGAGACTGAGGTTAACAAGATGAAGAGGTCGTAGGGAAAGCTGTATGGTCACCCCATCCTCCATTGAAAATGTTTGGGAAAAGGGTGATGGGGTATGGCAAGAAGAAGAAAGAAGGTAATTGAGGATATTAAAGTTAAATATTACAGAAAATGTCTCAAATTACCATTAACTAACCCCTTATTACCCCAGGTAGATGTTACTTTAACAATGTCAAACCTCAGGGTTTTGTGTCTTAGAACAACAAACTCAAGTCTCAAGGAATTTAAACCTTTAGCTCTAGGACAGAAGAGCTTCTAATAACAATTGAAATAGAATAGGTTAACAGAACAGAATATTGTGACAAAAGAGTAATGTGTACTGTATACAGAGCAATGATCTTTGCCTGGTTTTGGAAGAGGTGTTAAATAGCAGTGCACCCAATCCTGGCGTACTGACGCTGTTTTGATGCTGTCATTGAAGTAGAATGCCATCTCCCTTTTAAGTCTTCATCCCTTATATTCTTCATGAGGAAACACCTGACTCCATCTGTCTCTGTCTTTTGCTTTCTGCAAGGTTTGAAAAAAAAAACAAAACAGCAAATATTGATACCTTTTTAACTCTTTGAGTCCTAAGGAACACATCATACGTTCATAGGTTCTGACATAGAAGCCCAATGAATGCATGATGCGCCGATTTTATTACTTTCTATACTACCCCCTGGGCCTGTGATGCTAAACCCCCTGGGACTCAAAGAGTTAATGATTACATTCAGTATTATAGAATTAAATGTGTACCTGCTCAGAGGTAAGAAAATCTTATATACATGGCTGGAGTGTTGTTTCTGAGAGATGAAGGTGCTTGCAGTAACTCTATTTAATTTATCTGTTTGAATGTTACTGTAGCTGTTGCATGATTGGGGGTAAACTTTTGGAGGACTGCCAGGAAATTACTGTGGACTACAGGTCTAAGAATGTGGGCATAGACTTAGAGCATAAACATGGATGAGTACAGGGACTGGATGTGAGTGTTGGATTCTTGCTTGGTCACTGAAGAAACAAAATCAAAGCTTTTGAACTGAAATGCATGGTCCAGTAAAAAGAACAAACAAAGACTTCCTACATCAGGGCTATTCAACTAAATTTACCCACGGGTCAAAATTTTGAAAATGGTGATAGTGAAGAAATCACAAAATCAGATGAATGCTAGGAATAAAGTTAGTCTTACAGGTCATCAAAGAACAACAAATGAAGTGGTTTGGACACCTAACAAGAATGCCCTGGTACTATCTGCCACAGCAAGCCACACTAAAACATTATAACGGGTATAGAGCAAGTGGAAGGCCTTGGAAAACATGTAGTGATGGCATTTAGAACAGCCTTACAGAAATGAACATCAGTCTTAATAGTGCTCTTGACAGAGCTCATCAACGAACATTACATCTCCCCCCACCGACACTTTGATGAGGTACAAGGTAGAAGAGAAGAAAAGAAGAAGAAGATAGTCATGGACCAGAAGCCTAAGCTCCAGCCTAGTATGATCATCCCCATAATACAACTGACAGTGGTCCGCAGGCGACTTGCTAGGCCTCTACCGGCTGGATCCGGCCTGTGGGCCACCAGTTCAATAGCCCTGTCTTACATGATCTGAACATTGAGGATAATTGCTCCTGTTCCCAAAAGCTGAGGCTATTTTGGCCATGTTAAATGTTGTGGAGAGAAAGATGTTGGAGAACACAGTTTCTCAAAAAAGGCAGACCTTCGTGAACGTGGATCCAAAACAATGGATTTGCATTGGCTATGAAAGCAGATAAGGCTGGAGAATTGTGTGGAGGGAAAAAAAAAGACTTTCAGTAGTGCCATGACAATAGTGATAATCAATATATTTCTGATTGATATGTCTAGTGTGTTCTTCGATCTTTCTACTTATTTCTATGAGTGCCGATTAATACATTTTCTGTTACTTGATTACTATATGATTGATGATATGAACTGGTGAAGGATAAAAAATCATTCTAATGGATTCGGCTGTGCCCTCCGTTCTTGGAAGGACATGCCCCATGGTGTTGAGCTCTAATATACAGGAAACACTTTGCTTTCCTTTTCTTCTAACAGGTGAAAGAAGACATTGTCAGTTACGCCAAGTACAAGTGGCCGCTGCTGTTCTCTAGATTCTATGAAGCCTACAAATTCTCAGGGCCAAGCCTGCCCAAGAATGACGTCATCATAGCTGTCAACTGGACAGGAGTGTATGTTGTGGATGACCAGGAGCAGGTGCTTCTAGAACTTTCCTTCCCAGAGATTACAGCTGTTTCTAGCAGCAGGTAAGCTTGACTGCATTATCGTCAGTGGAATTGTCAGTGTCACACTTCTTGGTAAAATTAGTAACCACGGAAATGAGATGTCTGAGAAGGGCTATAGGAGTGACCATAAGAGATAAGATCAGGAATTAGATCACAGAGCCAATTCTGGATTACATACAAAGACAGCAAGTGAAATGGTTTGCCCACTTAGAGAGAATGCCTTGTGACACCATACCATACAAAGCATACATGGAAAGAGAAGAAGGACGTAGAGCACGGGGTAGACCAAGAACAAGATGGAAGGATAACATCAGAGAAACTCTACAACAGCACGATGTGCCTATGGTCGAGGTAGCCAGAAGAGCTAGAAACAGAACATTATATCTCCCTCGACACCCACAGCGGTAAAGGAGGAAGTGAAGAAGAAGGAGAAGAATACTCCATAGCTGAAAAACACCTGCTCACAGCAGAGTTGTTGTTTTTGAGAAGAACATTAAGGTTGATAAAAAAATGAATGAGGTTGTCTTCCTTAAGACAGATGGAAACTGTGAACTGATTAGATACAGACAGTCAGTGTTTTTCAGACATTGTTAACTGGAGAAACTTGGTAGCGAATGGCAAGATTGATGAAAGGAGAGCAAGGGGAAGGCAAAGCAATGATTGTATGGATGGGATAAGGCAAGAACAATGAGTTGATCTGTGATTCTGGTGATGATATTGATACTTGTTAAAGATAAAGGTAGTTTTCCAGAAGAAACTGCTGTTGGTATGGGAAGCGTTAGTTGTTCATACCTTGTAGGCCATGATATGACGGGGGCTTTAAATTAAAATCTTTAAAGTGTGATCAAAACTACAGTTACCATGCAGTTGTCTTGTAATCTGTCAGTATTGTTGATAAGGATGGCAAGAGTGTTAAGCGTGTGACATCATAGTGCAGATGAACATGGTGACATCATAATGACAGTTTAAAGATGGCCATTTAATCAATCACGGAGTGTGACATTGCCAAACATCTTAAAAATCAGTTCAAGATACAGCAGACCACATCTTTTCACCCCTTCACTAATTTAAAAACCCGACAGATGGATAACAGAACACTCTCTGCACTCGAAGACTCCAAGTGTTTGTAAATATACATGTCTTTTATCACTCTACAATCATCTTGGTCTGCTTCGTAATCTACCCCAGTTCAACTCTTTTTGTGCACACAGATTTTGTCTTTGTATTGCCTGCCTTTCTCTCTGGTAACGCCAGCCATCATTGTTTGTTAGCCCTAAGGGTGGTAGTAGCAGTAGTGATTTAATCAAATTCTGAATTTTATTCTTGCTTCTAACTTTCCAATCTCATTTGTTTTTGCATATTTCAACACCTGATAGGTTACATCAGGGTTATAGGTTACATCAGGGTTATAGGTTACATCAGGGTTATAGCTAACAGCAGGGTTATAGGTTACATCAGGGTTATAGGTAACAGCAGGGTTATAGGTAACATCAGGGTTATAGGTTACATCAGGGTTATAGGTAACAGCAGGGTTATAGGTAACAGCAGGGTTATAGGTTACATCAGGGTTATAGGTTACATCAGGGTTATAGGTAACAGCAGGGTTATAGGTAACAGCAGGGTTATAGGTTATAGCAGGGTTATTTAACTAAGTTTACTGAGGAGCCAAGATGTTGAAAACAGGAATCATTACCGTCCAGCTGCCTGAGCCCCAGCGTAGAAATATCCGCTATTTTTGCAATGATTGATAGGCCACTTGCTAAGCCTCTGTGGGCTAAAATTGGGTTCCGGCTTCCAGTTGAATAGCCTTGGATGACAATGTTATTACTCCAGTGATTGTTCAATCAATCAAATGTTGTCTTTACAGTGAAGGTTGGCTGCAATAGATCTCAAATATGCTTTATCTTTTGTCTTTGCTGTATGTACACTCTCTTAGACTGCTATTTGTCCATCTCTTAATGTTATCCTCCCACTTGTATCGTCTACCTCTTGCTCTCTTTTGCCATGGACCTTTCCCTCTAGTATGATTTTAAAAAGAGGGTTATGTTATTTAATATGGCCAAATATTTTTGTCTCTGGTTTTAAAAAAATTTACTTTCAGTAACTTTTTTTTAATTCTCGGACTCTCTATAACCTTTGTATTTGACTGTTTTTGATTTCATTAAATATGACCTGTTCTTCTGTATGTCCATGTCTCTGGTTCAGTTTTCTAGTTGCCTTTCATTATTCAAGCTTTTGTACCATACAGCAGGATTGAGTATACATAACATTTAATGATTCTCATTTTTCATGTGTTACTTATCTATCTAGCTGTCCCATCTTACTGACGATAGTTTTAGTAATTCCTATTCTCCTTATGATTTATGTGTCATTTCTGTCGTTATTATGTGTCCAAGAAAGGAAACATTATATCTAATATCTCAATGTACTCATTTACCTCTGCAGTGATTGATGTTTATGCTCATTAGTTATCATAATTGTTATATCATTATAATTTGTAATAAATTAATTTCCCCTCAAGGACTGGCAAGATGCATGGTCAGAGCTTTACGTTGGCAACCGTGAAAGGAGATGAGTACACGTTTACCTCTCCAAATGCTGAAGACATTCGGGACCTGGTTGTCACTTTCCTGGAGGGTCTGAAGAAGAGGTCAAAGTATGTCATTGCTCTTCAGGACTATCTGTCTCCAGGTTAGTCATCCATGAGAATCTATTTACAGAATTTCATTCTATTTGTGATAGGCCTGAAACCAGTCACATGGTTCATTGCAGAGCAACAGATGGGACGATTTGTCCAACTGATGAGAATGCTGTGGTACCAACTGTCACGGAAACCCACGTTGAATAAATATAATGAATACAGAGTAAGGGGAATACCACACAAATTATGCAATAACAGCATTAACTCTTTGAGTCCCAGGGGGTTCAGCATCACAGGCCCAGGGGGTAGTAAAGAAAGTAATAAAATTGGTGCATCATGCGTTCATTGGGCTTCTAGGTAGGAACCTGTGAACGTATGATGCGTTCCTTGGGACTTAAAGAGTTAAGAACAAACTTTAAGAAATGACGACCACTCTATTTAACACACTAGAAAAAGCACATTAATATAGGCTAATCAACTGGTAAAAAAAAAAAAGGAGCCGCCTTGGTGAAGCGGCTAGATACTCGCCTGCAGATTGGAAGGTCATGGGTTTAGGTCCTGAAGGGACATAATTCAAACACTTGTGCAAAAGCCAAGGTGAATGTTAAGCCATAAATCCCTTTCATTGACTGTCAGAAAGAGAGTACTAAAATGTTAGGTCAAGAGGTCAAGTCTACTCTTGGAGTCATGAGACTTTGTCACCATATTTCTTTTTCTGCTGACATATCAATATTTTTGACATTTGAGAAAGAAGGATCTGCTTGTTCCTGACCCTGTCAACAGTGGGGACCCTGTCATCAGCTTTAATCTTTTTTTCCCTTTTCAATTGTTTCCCCCCTTGCAGAAGGATCATCGTTTTTGACATTCAAGAAAGGGGATCTGATTGTCCTTGACCCTGTCAACAGTGGGGAGACTGTCATGAAATCTGGCTGGTGCTACGGCGAGAACGCAAACACCAAGAAGAAAGGCGACTTCCCTGCCGAGTGTGTGTATGTCCTGCCGACAATCACCAAACCTCCAACAGAGATATTGGTCAGTGGGTAGTTTTTTTTATTTTGATTGTTGTCTTGAAAAATATCGACAGACTGTCTTTATTATTTAACTGACATCATATACAAGTGGGAACAGTTATCTTACATTTTAATTATCTGTGAAGTTAAGAAAAGTATTAGCAGTGAAAAAGAGAACTTAAAGTGTCTTTTGTAGTTTGAGTATAATAAAAAGTATAATGGGAAGATAATTGTTTTTAATATTATGAAAATATTTGACATTAAGTGAGAGAAATTGTTTATTCTGGTTTGAAAATAATATTTGTTAAAATGATCATAAAAGTATTTAACTAAAAAATTGATGTTTTTTATTGGGGTGTTTTTGATGGCGGAATATATTGATCTTGCCAGTGCTAATGATACATTTGATTGCAGGTGTCAAAGTACATGAAAACACAGACACTTGGGCTGAAGCTGTAAAGGAGGAAATTCACTGATGTAGGTGACAGTAGAGAAAGTTGAGAGTAGGAGAGAGGTAAGAGTAGGAGAGAGGGGAGTATGGGATGGTCTCCCCTTGGTGAAGTGGTCCCAGAAGGTTGCAAGTCAATTTCACAGACTTCATTTTTTAGTTGTTCATGAGCGCAGTTTTACAGAGAGAACCTTAGGGACTGTCACTGTAGCTGTGGAGTTTGTGCTTTGTATGGTGCCCTTGACAGCTGACTAGCCATTCTGTGTAGAAAGACTAAGCCATATGGGATGAAACCTGGTGCAGAAGTCTATCTTCACAACTTTAACAGTTGAGAATATGAGGGAGGGTAAGTATAATGGAGGGGTAAGTGTGAGGGAGGTGAGAGCAAGAGAGAGGTAAGGAGTAAAAATGATTAAATTCAAACAAACATCTTCTCTTTTCAGAACCTCTTTGTTCAGTCAGGTTCAGTGACTGATCACTTCAACCAAGATGAGAGTAAACCAAATGAGAGTGTGTCAGTCTTGTACACATTGGAGCAGTATTCTTATGATCATTTCCGGTAAGTTGAATATTCTTCTTCTTCTTCTTCTTCTTCTTTACAACCTCTTTTACAGCTTCAGGTGTCAAGTGAGATATAAAGTTTTGCTTCTTGCTCTCCCAGTGGCCTCGACCACAGACACATTGTGTTGTTGTAGAGTTTCTCTGATGGTATCTGTCCATGTTGTTGCTCTTGGACTACCATGTGCTCTACATCCTTCTACTCTTTTGGTGTTTACCTTCTATGAAACGGCATCACAAGGCATACTCTCTGAGTGGGCAAGCCACTCAATCTGCTGTCTTCGTATGTAAATTTAGAAATGGTTCTGTGCCAACCTTTTCTTGAATGACCTCATTAATGACTTTGTACCTTCTGGTCACTCCCCTTGGTTATTAATTTGATTAAGTGGTTCTGTAGGCATTCCATACTTCCTGCTGTGAGTACCTGTTCATCGGTGAATAGTAATTCTATAATATCTTCTTACAACTACATACAGGGAAAGAAGTTGAAGTCGAGTTAGCAAGAGGCAGATAGTGATATGAGTGGAAGGAAAACATCAAGAAATTGATGAATAGCATGCTGAAATGGTGTACATCCAAGGTAAAAGTTTTGCTGATTCATTGCAGCCAACTTTCACTGTGTAGATGATGCCTCATTGATTGAGGTCATGATTTAGTACAGCCCAGATAGATCTCCTGGGATTAGACTCGGCTTAAAAATATTTCCTCTGTAGGTTTTAGATATAGTCTCTATCATTAGACTGAAACTCGGCAATTGCAGTTGTTCAGTGTAAAGTACTTCATTTGTCTGTATTCAAAAAAGTAACAATTTCCTGTTATCTGCAAGGAAGAGCCATTTAAACTGTTAATTTTCTGATTTCTTAAATAATGGCTACAAACTGACCACTGCTATATGGAGGTAAAACTTCTTTCTTGTGCTTGCTACCTGATACAAAGTAAAAAAAGTCCAGTTTAGAGCCTGGTCCTACTTCTAAACCTTCATCTTCATATCTCTTTCTCATGAAGGATGCCCTGTATCCAGCCCCTATGTGCACATTAAATATCCCCTAGTGCTGGACCTCCATGTGCACATGAACTCTTTCAGTCCCAAGAACGCATCACACATTCATATATTCCTACCTAGAAGTCCAATGAAGGCAAGATGTGCCGTTTTTACATCTACCACCTCTTTGGCCTCTGATGCTAAACCCCCTCCGATTGAAAGAGTTGAAAATCTTTTGATAATACTAATGATAAAATATAGGTTGTGAATTTTAATAGAATATTAATAGCAAATAAATCTCATACGGATGCGAAAGATAATAGGAAACCACTTTATTCACTTCCATTTGCTAGATTTTTCAGAGTTTATTTGCTTTCATAAATAAAAATAACCTCGACTCCCAGGTCGATTCAGCCTAATATGGGTACCACCTACATCGACAGTACATGCAAGAATGCCAAGCCTATGAATGAAGATCTTAGTAAGATCAACGAATTACTCTTTGCAGATGACAAGGCCTTGATAGCAGATACAGCCATGAAATTGCAACAACATCTAACATCCATGAATGAAGAATGTAAAACAAATAATATGAAAATCAACACTGAAAAGACAGAAGTAATGTCAATAGGAAAAAAGAAGACAGATCTAAACATAACAATAGAATACAAAGGCATTAAACAGGCATCTGAGTTTAAATATCTGGGAACTACATTTATTGGATAAAGAAATTGACATTAGATGCAGTAAAGCAAACCAAGTATTGGGACAGCTAGCCCCCCTCTTACAGCATAAGACAATCCCAGTCAGCACAAAGAGACATCTTATTCAAAGCATATTTATTCCAACTCTGTGCTACCAGTGCCAGACATGGTCACTCACAACAAACCATAAAAGAAAATTAGTAACCACGGAAATGAGATGTCTGAGAAGGGCTGTGGGAGTGACCATAAGAGATAAGATCAGAAATGAGATCATAAGAGAACAAGTCGGCACAGAACCAATTCTGGATTACATACAAAGACAGCAAGTGAAATGGTTTGCCCACTTAGAGAGAATGCCTTGTGACACCATAACATACAAAGCATACATGGGAAGAGAAGAAGGACGTAGAGCACGGGGTAGACCAAAAACAAGATGGAAGGATAACATCAGAGAAACTCTACAACAGCACGATGTGCCTATGGTCGAGGCAGCCAGAAGAGCTAGAAACAGAACCTTATATCTCCCTCGACACCCACAGCGGTAAAAGAGGAAGTGAAGAAGAAGAAGAAGAAGAAGAAGAAGATAAAGTCCTGGAAAGTAGACAGCCAGTTTGATGCTGACCACTCACATGTGACATGGTCTATAAAATATAGATCTAGCTGTTTATGCATAATACGCCTGAAGGCATCAGAAAGAGTCCCTGTCTTTTTATTTTATTTTACTTTTTGCTTTCATATCTTACATCATTTTTCTTCATTCACAGGACACCCCCAAAACGCACACTAAGTGGAACACTGAATAGACGAGGAAAGCAAAATGAGGAGTTGTGGAAGCACTCAAAGGTTCCATTGAAACAACCCCTTCTGAAGAAGCTGATTGGCAAAGAGCAGCAGACAGCGGATGCATGCAACTGTTTCTTGAATATCCTTGCAGCATTGCTGAAGTACAAGGAAATCTCACATATAAATACACTTGTGTAATTCACTCACTGTCCTGTTGCGCCATTATATATCACAAACGACTCCCAGTCTATTTCTCCATTCTGTTCGGTCCCCTGCAGTCAGTTCGATATCATGGCTTTAGTGATTAGAAAGGATTATCATCACACTGCACTCAGGACAGATCCATAGGTGCTCCGATCTCCTCCTCAGAAGCTCCACAAGTGTAAAACAACTGATGATGCCTGTTCTGTGTTGGTTAATGAAACGTCTTGTCCCCTTAGTAAAATGTTCATTTCTTGCGGCTCCAGGCTGCACCCCCATGTCCCTCAGTCTAGATAGGGATATGGAGTCATGTCCTTTGGCGTGCTCCTCGGTACGGTAAGTGCAGCGCATGGCATTGATAACATCACTTTTGTCCAGTACTGGGCCAGCCATAGCAACTGCAGTGTCAGCAAGATAGTCTGCACGCTCGTTCCCTTGAACGAGCTTTAGTCTCTCTCATCAGTGTTTGTTTAGGTTTTCTCTTGGATGTCCTCACCTCCTTAATCCCTTTTTCCCATTCCAGTGCCTGTTTGGTGAGTCTCTGCTTATTTCTTCTCAGGATGTATCCATTATAGCGCCAACTTCTCGGGATGTGTCTATTATAGTGCCATCTTCTCAGGATGTGTCTATTATAGTGCCATCTTCTCAGGATGTGTCCATTATAGTGCCATCTTCTCAGGATGTGTCTATTATAGCACCATCTTCTCAGGATGTGTCCATTATAGCACCATCTTCTCAGGATGTGTCCAATATAGCACCCTCTTCTTGACATGTGTCCAATATAGCACCATCTTCTCAGGATGTGTCCAATATAGTACCATCTTCTCAGGATGTGTCCAATATAGTACCATCTTCTCAGGATGTGTCCAATATAGTACCATCTTCTCAGGATCTGTCCAATATAGCACCATCTTCTCAGGATCTGTCCATTATAGCACCATCTTCTCAGGATCTGTCCATTATAGCACCATCTTCTAAGGATGTGTCCATTATAGCACCATCTTCTCAGGATGTATCCATTATAGCACCATCTTCTCCAGATGTGTCCATTATAGCACCATCTTCTCAGGATGTATCCATTATAGTGCCATCTTCTAAGGATGTATCCATTAGAGCATCATCTTCTAAGGATCTGTCCATTATAGCACCATCTTCTCAGGATCTGTCCATTATAGCACCATCTTCTCAGGATCTGTCCATTATAGTGCCATCTTCTCAGGATGTATCCATTATAGTGCCATCTTCTCCAGATGTGTCCATTATAGCACCATCTTCTCCAGATGTGTCCATTATAGCGCCAATAGTGCCATTTTCTCAGGATGTGTCCAGTATAGCGCAATATTCTCAGCATGTGTCCATTATAGCACCATATTCTCAGCATGTGTCCATTATAGCACCATATTCTCAGCATGTGTCCATTATAGCACCATATTCTCAGGACGTGTCCATTATTGTACCATCTTCTCAGGATGTGTCCATTATAGCACCATCTTCTCAGGATGTGTCCAATATAGCACCATCTTCTCAGGATGTGTCCAATATAGAACCATCTTGTTTGACTTATAACTGTTGATACTAGTGGTTGCCCAGACATTTTTCTTTTATTTCTTCACTCCTTTTTGAATTCATCCCAATTTTTTAAAAATTTGTTTCTCAGACATTTGTTTTCAAACTCTTTTAACTTTCATTCCATGTCTCTAGTGGTTCTTCAATTTTCACTGGTATATGTTAAAACTTAAATATCTTAAGAGTTGACAATGCATAACTTTATATTGAAACTAAACAATTTATAGATCCATATTTTTTTTTAAGCTTTTCTTCTTCTTCATCTTCGCGTTCACCAGCTGTAAACTCTGGCGGAAAGTTCTTTTTCTTTTTTTCTTCTTCATGTTCACCAGCAGTAAACTCTGGCAGAAAGTTCTGGTTGTTCACCCACTTTAGGACTGCAGTCCTGTTCCAGAACCTGAGTGTTGCGTGTGCATCCATTTGACAGATCTGACTTCATTTTTATTTAGACTGTTGTTTCCTTGCCTCTCAGGCAGATGCACTCTGACTTCGAAGGAAGCGCCCAATTAGTCGACTCTCGACATGCTTTTGGGTAGGCAGGGGGTCTATTCTTGTTTTTCCCCTATAATAGTATCCCGAAACACATGCAGGGATTTCATGCTATTAAAAGCTACTGATTGAGATGTTTGAGAATGGCTGCGAATAAAACCAGAAGAGATCGAGTGAGAAACGATGTGATTACAAGAACTATTGGAACCATACCCATCGTTAAATTTATTGAGAAGCAAAGAATGAAATGGTTTGGTCACCTAGTGAGAATGGAACCAACGATGCCAGCATCAAGAGCATACAACATGAAAATCGAAACACCAAGAGGTAGGGGAAGACCAAGAAGAAGATGGATTGAAGGAGTCACTGACAACTTGAGACTTCATAACATCACGGCATATGAAGCGACTGAGCGCGCCCTGGCTCGGTTGTCGATCATCTGATAGACTGCGACGCCTAGCGGCACAAGCAGATTTTGACAAAAGAAAGAAGAAAAGCTACTGATGCCTTGCCAGTGCGTCATAATTTCTTTCTGTCTATTTCCTTCTCTATCAAAATTACTAGCTAAAATAAATCTTGTAATAATTTAATTTTGTCTCTAGTGTTACATTTGCTTGATCTGTAGTTGATTTATTCAAAATACTTGGCTTCTCCTAACTTATTTGTAGTGGAACCTTTGATGCTATATTTGCTAAATCATCTGTTTTTTTGAACTGGGATATTAGAACATTATCAGAACTGTCGAACCAATGTTTCTGTGTTGGTAAATTAATAACTGCACAGATATAACAGCCACATAGAACTGAAAATAAAAATATTAATTGAAAGGCCCCATGTAAATGATACATTTTCATTGTAGATTTCCAAATTATTTTTTTGCATGCACATTTAAGAAAAAATATTTACAAAACACATAAATATTTTAATACAAAATTAACATGTCTGCAGCGTCCATTAGTTCCCTTTTAATTTGGAAAATAATTTTAAAAAAAATTTTTAGCTATGTTATTTTACAAAGTTAAAAAAAAATGCAAATGTGGATGAGTTGGATTTGTTGACTTTCAGCCCAAGAAGATTTTGAAAATTTCCAAATAACCATTGGAAAACACTTATGATGGCATTGCATTCAGAATGCTGAATCCATATTCAAAGTGTCCACAGGGATAGCCAGACTTTTGTAATATATTCAAACTAAATGTCAGAGAACACATTATGCAATGGCTAGCTTCACAAAGAACTGTCCATGACACATCATATGCTGATTTGATCATAATAGTTATGATTCAAGACTTATGGCCAAAAGGTCTGATAGTCAGCTGAATACTGAGGCTCAGAAAAATACATTTGTTTTCAGCTAGGTTTCGCTAATGCAAATTCTCCATTTCTGGACCGGGAGTCCAAAGATTTTGTCATGCAGCTACTGAGTTGAGTGCTTGGTGCAACACTGTGAGTTGTGGATTAAATGTGGGATGATTATTTTTTTATGCCCTCAGTGTGTTGTTGACTGCACTGTTTCCCTTGTGATTTGTTTTTGTTTATTATTTATAATGTACTTTTGCTGTAAAGAATCACTAGCATCCTTAACTGTTCGTAAATATTATGAAGTATATGGGAGATCATCCAGACCGCAAGAGCCGGGTGGCCAACGAGTTTACAGACAAGATTTTCACACCTCCAATTAATCAGGTATTGATTTGAATTCAGTCATCACCATCATTTTTGTCAGCAAATTCATTCTCTTTTCATTCCCACCATATTCACTATTGCAGTCTTCAACTTGTTTTCATCATTTAAATTTATCATTGTCATCATCATCATCATCATCATCATTACTATAATTGTCTTTGTCATCATTGTGTTTTCAAATGCAGTGAATTATAATTGCTTTTACTTTCTTATTTCAGAACATTATTTCATGCATTTGTTGGAATATAAGGTTTAATGTTCAGTTTATGAAGTCTCTGTTTGTTTGTGGTTTCAGGAGATCTTGAGGGATGAAATTTATTGTCAAATTATGAAACAGCTCACAGACAACAGAAACAGGTTGAGTATTTATTGTAGAGTAATGTCTGCTAGAGTGGTTTTAATCATGTTTTTTATCATGTTTGTATTTTGATGATGTGATGTTATAGTTGATTAGAATGCTATTTCTGTTTGTATTATTGTAGTTAGTTGCATTTTATTGGTACATAACTAAGTGCTTTATGTTCATTTCTGATTCATTTTGGCTAAATTCTTTGAGTTTTACTTGAGCATCTTAGCAGTCTGTTTTTTTTTTTTAATTTTTGAAAAACTAAAATTGAAATACTAACTAACACAGTTATTTGTTGTAGCAGTATTCTAATATTATCCCTTAACATTCCCTGATGACTTTGTTGTATAATATATGTATGGTACACACTAGCTTTGTTAGTATAGTCTGTTATAATTTGTCGCACTCCTGAAATTTTAAAATTGCATTACCTACCCTTGGTCATCCAATGCTAAACCTCCTAGTACTGAAAAAAGATGTAAACAAAATAACACAAACCTAAACAGTTTCTCAGTTTATTTTGTTTTATGTTTATACTATCATTCATAAACCTTTTCTGTATTTCGTTTGTTTATAATAAAAATGTTTTAACTCCTCCCAAATCATGACCAATACATGGGTTAAATGTTTATTGGCCATTATGACTAAATTGTTTAATTTAACAGTCACATTGGCAGCCGTAGTTATTGTGCATTTCTTTATTTATTGCGACAATCAGTAAAAAATAAACTTTTGCTGTAGTTTTCATGTGTATATCCCTGTGAATATTCTTTTTAAAAATTACATTTTGCTTTAATCTTCCTCGAAACCACATATCTATATGTGTCTGAGACAATACAGTTGTCTGTCTCCCAAATTGTTAAATACTGGAGTTAGTATTACAGGGGATGCTTTGGGTGCACTTAGGGGCAATGACCCAAGATGGCAGCGATGGAGACAAAGATGAAGTCGAAGATGGGACAATAAATATGGGGTTTTAGACCTCTATTTCTTCTAGGCCTACAGATAGGTCAGCTGTGGAGACCAAAATGAGGTAGAGGAAGAGAGACTAAAGCTTTCACTACCTGGGCGAAGCCGGGAAGGGGGGGGGGGGGGGGAGCTAAGTCTATTTAGTTATAAAATTAACAGTTAAAAACACGTTCAAATAAAAAAAAAAGGACTTAATTTTCCTCGCTTTATTAGATATTTCTATTTTATATCTCAACTGCAAGTTACTTGATGTTTTTTTGTCATGTATCCACAGTGTAAGTGAAGAAAGAGGTTGGGAGTTGATGTGGCTGATAACAGGATGTTTTCCACCCAGTACTAACCTCCTGAAGGAGCTGACTGCCTTCTTACGTTCACGGATGCATATAGGCATCGCTGCAGACAGTTATACTCGGCTCCAGAAATGTCTCAGGTATGCGTTTCAAAGTGTCTTACCTATGTATAGTTGTGATGCTCATCGCTGCAGACAGTTATACTCGGCTCCAGAAATGTCTCAGGTATGCGTTTCAAAGTGTCTTACCTATGTATATTTGTGATGCTCATCGCTGCAGACAGTTATACTCGGCACCAGAAATGTCTCAGGTATGCGTTTCAAAGTGTCTTACCTATGTATATTTGTGATGCTCATCGCTGCAGACAGTTATACTCGGCACCAGAAATGTCTCAAGTATGCGTTTCAAAGTGTCTTACCTATGTATATTTGTGATGCTCATCGCTGCAGACAGTTATACTCGGCTCCAGAAATGTCTCAGGTATGCGTTTCAAAATGTCTTACCTATGTATAGTTGTGATATCATTGCTAACCACTACTTAATTTTATTAATTATTATAGATTGCAGTATTGGAAACTAATATCTACCACATATTCTGTACTGTGTTTATTTTCTATCTCTACTAGGTACTGTATTCCTGCACATTTTTTTGTTGCTAGTGACTCTTCGTCTTCAGCACAGCTAAGATTGCTTATTTATTATTCTTCCACTGATGTTCCATTCAAACAATGTTCGAACATGTTTAAAAATGCTTTCTGTGTGAGTTGAAAAGCTTTATTTAGCAAACAGTTTTAAATTTGAACAAAGAAGACAAACCATAGATTACACAGTTTGCCTAGCATATTTTGCTGTAACTGATCATGTGCATACTGCAGTAACAATTGATCAAAATGAAGCATATAAATAAATCCTTCCAACTGAAACACAAAATCAACTTGATTCAAAAGTAACTGTCTGTTTCACCAGGGTAAACACAACTTTAAATGAAAGCTGTAAAGATGAGATACTACAAACATATGACATTAATCCATATCTAATTATGGGTATTTGGTATGTAGGAAGTTTTGAGAGAAGCTAACAATTGTATGATACAAGGCAGATGAGTATCAAATGCCATGTCATCTACTATAGGAGATTCAAGCTTCTCCACACTTCATGATCTTCAACAGATTATATCTTCTGTCTTCTACCGTCACTCTTAAAAGTGCAGTTGGCACTTTGTAACTTAAGTGTGGCTGTGACATCCTCACCTTTTGGTCTAACACCTCAGATTTCCGCAAATTCTTAGACACCTTTGAGATTACTCTAAAGGGCAACAAGTCTATTCTTTTGTTTTCTTCTACCAAAAAAAATGGTGTCCCAGAAACCTCACAAGGAAGAGAATATATCAGCTTCAGTGTTGATGTATTTTGAGTACACTAATAAAGGGAAGGGCTGGCAAGAAGCTCGTCTAATTGTTTTCCTCCATTCCCCCCCCCCCTCCCCCACACACACACACATATCCAAGTATATTCAGTTGTTATAATATGTTTTATTTTTCCCCTTTTTGAGTCCCAAATAGTATTGATATCCTTCTCTGATATTTGTGACAAAGCTCTTTAACTCTTTGAGTCCCAAGGAACGCATCATACGTTCATAGATTCCTACCTAGAGGCCCATTGAACGCATGATGCACCCGTGTTAGTATCTCATGACTAACCTTTGGGCCTATAATGCTAAACCACCTGGAACTCAAAGAGTTAAGAACATTTAGATTATTTATTTTTGACAATACACACATTTTCAGTTTTCTGTTGTAAAACATTTTAGGTGGTTTGAGTGCATTTTTGTGTGCTGAATTTGCTAACAGTCCAGGATTCATAGCTCTGTGCTAGATAAAAGGATTAAACCATTAAGTAATCTTGAGCTGGGATTTGTCTGTTACTGTTTGCAGAAATGGTGTTCGCAAGTACCCACCCCATCAGGTTGAGGTCGAGGCCATTCAGCACAAGACTACACAAATCTTGCACAAAGTTTACTTCCCTGACGACACTGATGAGGTGAGGTCACCGGTACTAGTGTTTTTGTGCTCATTGTTTGTGTATTTCTCCTTTACTGCTTCCTCATCTTCTACTAGTACTTTCTCATCTTCTACTAGTACTTTCTCATCTTCTACTAGTACCTTCCCATCTTCTACTAGTACTTTCTCATCTTCTACTTGTACTTTCTCATCTTCTGCTCGTACCTTCTCATCTTCTGCTGGTACATTCTCATCTTCTGCTAGTACCTTCTCATCTTCTGCTAGTACTTTCTTATCTTTTGCTAGTACCTGTACCTTCTCAACTTCTACTACCACTTTCTCATCTTCTTCTAGTACTTTCTCATCTTCTGCTAGTACTTTCTCATCTTCTTCTAGTACTTTCTTATCTTCTGCCAATACCTGTACCTTCTCATTTTCTACTACTACTTTCTTATCTTCTCCTAGTACTTTCTCATTTTCTGCTGATGGATCTGTCGTTCTTCATGTCCAAAGCTCATAGGTTTTTACAGTTCTGGTTTGCAGGGGAAAATAAAAGAAGACAGTAGTGTATTTGCTTTGACTACAGGTTATTCTGATTATGGAGGTGATGGCAGTTACCAAAGCAGTGTCCTGACTAGAGATTTTTTCCATGTTGGCTTTTTAAACTATTTTTGTATTCTGATTTTATTCTTTTATTATAATTTTTTTAAAAATTCTGTATTTCTTCAATTGTTCAATTTCTATTGCATATTTTTTATTGTTTATTATTCAAAGTTTTATGTATCTTTAATTGTTTACCAGTCATGGTCTTGGTTACTTTGTGTATAATTCATTATTTATTATACAGGGTTTTGAAGTGGAGTCGAGCACAAGAGCTAAAGACTTCTGTCAAAACATTGCCAACAAATTGGGCTTGAAATCTGCCGAAGGATTCAGCCTATTTGTCAAGATCTCAGACAAAGGTATAATCAAGCACCCAACACATTTTTTTTAGACATAAATATCTGAGTGGAGTTGAAAAATCACTGTAAACTAAATAAGACATTTTTGTGAGAGGAACTTCAAATGAAAAACTAAGAGGTGTGATAGAAATTACAATAACTATGCCATTGTCTTTAACTGTTAGTATTGTTGTTAAAAATGTCAAGAATGTTAAACCTTGGACATGGTGCAGATGGAACACAGCGACATTATAATGACAGTTTATAGATGGCTGCCACACTTTTGATATGCACCAATGATGAGCAGTGTTCTGTTATTCGTTTTAAAAAAAAATCAATAAAGGGGTGAAACCTCTAGACATTGGTAGCGAATGAAGGCCTAATATGGAGGTCCATGCCTGTCAGTCCAGCAATTGTATGAGTGGAGCAGAAAGTTTTAAAACAGAGTGACTTCTTTGACATACTGTTCCAATGAGCAGTGAACAGTCTTTAACTGAAGTCACACCATTTTGACACTTTCACGTGACACTTCCACATGACACTTCCACATGACACTTCCCCATGACACTTCCACATGACACTTCCACATGACACTTCCACATGACACTTCCCCATGACACTTCCACATGACACTTCCACATTTGCATCATGATCTCATGAGTTAAACACTCATCATATCAAAGTTCACAAGACATGACCTTGTTGTAATCATTTCTGTCACACTTTTAGATTTTCATACAACAAAATATCATTCCTGTAAAGAAGGTTTCTTTTACAATAAATCATTGTCCAAATAAGATTTACAACAGGAGATCATTTGTGTAAATAAGGTTTCTTTTACAATAAATCATTGTCCAAATAAGATTTACAACAGGAGATCATTTGTGTAAATAAGGTTTCTTTAACAATAAATCATTCTCCAAATAAGATTCACAACAGGAGATCATTTGTGTAAATAAGATTTCTTTTACAACAAGAGATTGTTTGTGTAAATAAGATTACTTTTACAACAAGAGATTGTTTGAGTAAATAAGGTTTTCATCAAGAAACCAGTCGTTTAAAGATTTACAAGAGATCGTTTGTGTAAATAAGATTTCTTTTACCATAGATCATTCATATAAAAAAGGTTCACAAGACATAATTTGTGTAAATAAGATTTGCAACAAGAGATTATTTGTGTAAAAAAGGTTTCTTTTGCAACAAGAGGTCATTTGATGATCATTTGAATAAGTAAGTTTTACAACCAAGGATCATTTGTGTAAATAAGGTTTCTTTTACAACAAGAAATAATTTGTGTAAATAAGGTTTCTTTTACAAGAAGAAATCATTTGTGTAAATAAGGTTTCTTTTACATCAATAGATCATTCATCATAAAAAGATTTCTTCTACAAGAAACATCATTTATGTAAATAAGACTTCAAAGACTTATGAAAAATGTTTTAATATTTGTCTTTATAATACCTCTTATTTTCAGAAAAGATTTGCAATTAATGGCAAGTTTAATAGGACAAAAGAAATCACCAGGTGTAAATTAGATAGGTTTGTCACTCAAGTTACGTAGGATTATCAGTTAAACGGGGTAGTATTGTGCAAATGTTATGAGAAACACAGTTAGTGATGAGGCATATGAGAACTTTGATCCGCTGTAAATTGGAGGTAATCCTATCCCAGAACTCATATGCTGATGACAACACAGCTCTCCTTTCCAGTAGTTTACATGATCCAAAAAAATTAATTATGGCCGTCAAAAGGCACAGCGAAGAAGTAAATTTTTTTCTGAATTTAGGGGAAAAAAAAACATGTCCTCAGTTATTACAGCACACCAACCACATGTCACAATAAAAAAGGAAAAAATAGAAAATGTCGCAGATTCTGAATACATGGGCTCTTTAGTGAAAGAAAGAAAGTAAGACAAAGACTTGCATTAGCAATGGAGAGATTAACTCTTTGACTCCCAAGGAACGCATCCTACGTTCATAGATTCCTACCTAGAGGCCCAATGAACGCATGATGCACCAATTTTACGCCACTCTTGACTACCCCTTGGGCCTGTGATGCTAAACCTCCTGGGACTCAAAGAGTTAAACAGCATGAAGAATTTATGGCTAAGCATGTAAATTAGTTAAAAGTAAAAATCTTGACATATGCATTTTTCCTGTGGCAACTTACAGTTGTGAGTCCGTGACTCTCAATCAATCAGTGAAAAAGAAGATTGGAGCTTTTAAATTTAAATGTTACAGAAAAATTCTCAGAATACCGTGGACCAGCAAGAGGAAAAAAGAGGAAAAACATCAACATTTTACACGAGTTAAACATCCTAGAGAGCTGGCTCATGAACAGCATCCTGTCCTGAAAGTTGAAGTATTTTGGCCACATGAAAAAAACATGTCATGGTGGCTTGGAAAAGACAGTGATGAAAGGTGCAGTTTGTGGAAAGCGAGGCAGGGGTCGACTTCCGCAAAGATGGATACAGGACATTGAAGATGCATTGGCATTAAAAGTATATGGGGCTGGACAACTGGCTGAGGAAAGAGATACTTTCAGCTGTAAAGAAAGTGACCTTCGGCAAAGGACTTACTGATTGATGACCAGGTAGTACTGTGATCTTAACTAGGTTATTTGAAATAATTTTTTTTGTTTTGTTTTTTGTTAGAATATCTCAGATCTTGATATTCAAATTAATAATGATATGTTGTTTCCTTTCAGTGATCAGTGTTCCGGAAGGAGATTTCTTCTTTGACTTTGTTCGACATCTCACAGACTGGATTCGCAAGGCTAGGCCAGCCAAGGATGGTCAGTGCCCGTATATCGTCTCAAGTTAAAAGTTACTGTCGAGAGGATCAGCTTCATTGCACCTGGTTTTATCCCTTATGGCTCAGTCTCTCTCTGATTAGCTGTCTGATGAAAGCGTCATACAAAGCATGAACTCTGTATGTAGCTCTGGTGACGAACCCCAAGGATCTCCATAAAAATTGCATTTGTTAACTGAGCGTGAGGCAGATGGCTTGACCACTTTGCCACAGAGAGTCCTCTAGATTAGTTGATAATATTTACCTGACATATGTGATTATGTTTACAAATTCAAGTTCTGAGTGCATTAACCCTACCAGACCTGAGGCCCTGAACTGTCCCTATAGCCTGAGCTCCTCGGCATTAACACGAAAAAACCAACATGATGTACACAAAAATTAGTTACATGCAAACAAGTGGTTAGAATAAGATAAAACTTGGAGACATTGTAGAAAATAGGTTTACCTTTCATCTAGCACCAATCTTCCACCCTTGTATGCCAATCCACCTAGTAGGATCAGTCTTGTTTCACAAAGTAAGCATCAGATGTTGCTGTTTGAGGGATACGCCCCCTTCTCTTACTATCGATCTAGTTTTAAATCTCTAATTTTCATAATTCTCCTCCTCACTCTAGCTTTCGCTGACTGTGTCACTTCAACTAGGAACGCATTCTTCATGAACGTATTTACAGTCTGAGTTAACCAAAGTATCGATCACCTGTTGGACTGTGAAAAGCCTAGACCTACATCACTTTCTTGTCGAAGCCGCTCGTTTCATTGAGAATTTTCCGAATATTTTTCACATCAAACCACACAAAGAAATCTCAACACACGTGGGAAGTCATTCGCAATGACTAACCATAAAGTCTGATGGCTATTGTTTGGTTATTTTTAGTCTGTGACGCATATTTTTCACGTTGTACGCAAATTCTCGAAAAATGGGGCCAGCATTATAGCGTCAGGTTAGAAAATTCCCGAAAAATCTGACCCGCGTTCTGGTAGAGTAAGACACGTCACAAGTCAGCTGTGTTGGCATAAACAGTGCAGATGGTTGAAAAGACAGCAAAAGAAGAAAGTATGGCATTTACTTCAACTGCTTCTAGCAAGATGATGGAAATAGCAGCTGTTACAGTGGCACTAGCATGGCTGGCGGAACAGAAAACAGCTCACGCACTGATAGTGATAGACTCTATTAGCACGCTTAAGATGTCACAAACTCGTAATGTTTTATAATATAATTTCACCTTTATACATCTGTAGTAAATCCTCAGATCAAATACCATCACAAGCACTACATCTCAGAAGATCAACTACAAGAGCAAAAGGACAGCCACAAAACATGGATCGGCAACATTAAAGACACTCTACGCCTTCACGGCATGACAATAGCCAGTGGCAGCCAACGTGCACTGGATCGCAAATTATTCCTCCCTATGACGCTTAACGGCAGAAGTGGTTCATGATGATGATGATGATGATGATGATGATGATGAGTAAATCCTCAGGCACTTAAGAGTTTTTCAAACTGGCAAGATACCTGTACCTCATTAATTACCTTCTGTAAAGAGTTTCACGGTCCCGTAAGATATCACACAACAAAACAAAATAATCTAAACATATAATTGCACACATTTTAGTCTACATATTGTTCTTGTTTAATTGTTTCCCTTTCTGGAAGTATTTACTTCAAATATGACATCTTTTAGCGAAACAAAATAAAACTATTAATTATAAATATCTCTTATAAGTGTCAGTTACTAAAGAAGCAGCTGGCCAGTCGGTTAAGAACACTGAACTCTCCTGCAGGAGACACAGGCTCAAATGCTCATGAAGGCTGTGGATTTGTTTGTTTGTTGTTTGCTTGCACAGTCCATGATGACTGCTCTAGTGATGCAGCCCTAAATTCTCTGTCTGAAGACCCCACATCCTTTATCATCCTAAAAACAGGCAGTTCTGGTTTTTTTTAAATAATAAGTTTCACATTGTTTTTTAATTAGTTATGACTTTCATTTGTAGACATCACACCAACATTTACATTTCAAACTTATTGTTTTTATCAACGTGACTTTCATTTGTAGGTATCCCTCCGACATTTACATATCAAGTTTTCTTCATGAAAAAATTATGGATAAAGACGGTTCCAGGAAAAGACTATCAGGCGGACATCATTTTTCATTATCATCAGGTAATTGTATACTCACAATTTTTAACATCTTTTTTTTTTCATTGTCACGGGCTGTGAATTGCGGTGGAAAGTCTAGCTGTTCCTTCTTTTGGACTTTGTCTTTGTACCAGGACCTGAGTTTTGCGTGTACATCTGTTCTACTGACTTATTCGTGTGCGATTCTTGCTCCCTGCCTCTCAGGCAGATGTACTCTGACTTCGAAGGAAGACGTCATTCCTTTCTCTAGGATGACTGTTGCCATTGTTTTGTGGGACATGATTTTGTCTTATTTGTGTGGTGTTCTCTTTGTCTTTCTGCCTACAAATGTTGCCCCTGGAAAACCCTTTTAGGGCAACCTCGTATAGACTGGTCAGCCCTCAAGGCAAGGCAGGGGCAGATCCAGGGCATCCTGGATCTGGAAGGAGGCTTCCATAAATGCAGAGCCGACAAATGATGCACTGGTCCTAGGCTCACCCAAGGAATCATTACGTTCTACCTAACCTCACAATCGTATGTTGAGCTTTCCGCTTGTTATGGGCTGCACCCTCCGGAGATCAGCAGTGAGCAGCCTGCAGGTCTAGGACTTCGATAAAAATAGGTACATTCTTCTTTATCATGATAGACAACTTTAACATTTCAACTGTGCCCTTAGCATGACAGTATGTAGAGGCATGCATCAGGCATGGGTTCCCTTGTTTGGTCCCAACACTCTGGCAAGTAGGGTCAGTAGATACGAGCATTTGAACCTTATTGCCAATTAGTAGGATTTGTGACTGTCAGGACATCGAGTCTTTCCTTGTGTGCCACTTGAGTCTAGCCAGCTGACTGACAATGGCTGTCATGGTGGATCTCAACACAGTGATGATGATGGTGAGGGATGACAGAAGATGTACGAAGACAAGATTTTATTATGAGAAAACACCTACAAGAGATGTTGCTCGTCTAAGCTGTGGGCAAATCTCTTAGTCTAGGGCCTAGAGTCTCAGTAGTTTAGTTTTGCTTTCACTTGACAGTGGTACATTCAGCAAGTGGACTTTCCTCATGTTCCAAATAAGTTTTGATAGACATTTTCCTTTTTACCTATGCATTGGGGTTGTGCTGATGAGAGGCAGACTGGTCCCTACATCTCTGGGGGCCACCAGCTCCAAGATCCCCTGCCAGCTCTGCTAATGCTCATTTGAGACATTATTCGTGGCGCATGACGGGGACGTGCGGCAGAAGTCGTGCATGAGATTCTGTAAAACCAGCTCAGAGAAGGTTGGTACCCTAGGTGAGGTCTGGAGTATCTCGTTATACACATCCCTTCGGACTTCACTTTTGTACACGCCTTTGACCAGAATCACCTTGTGATTCTGTTAATATTTTGTTCGCAATAGGTTTGTTATTTTTGTGTAACGCATAATAATGGAAATGCTAACTTATATACAGTTTTAAACGGTAAACCGACAACTCTTCTTTTCTGTTGTTCATTTTATTCTCTGACACAAAACCTGAATTTTCAAACATTCTTTATCTTGTTCTTCAGAATTCAGAGCCCTTGAGGTTCATTGCTGCAGATATCACCTGCATCCATTCATCTCTCTAACTGGCCTTCTTTTTTTAGTTGATGACACCAAAAGTGCATAAGTCTGTCTGGATATTACCTGTTCATCATCTTCTTAGAGCATACTGAAAGCATACTTGGAGTAATATATTATAGTACTTGTAATCAGTGTTCCTGATAATACTTGTCACTTGTATTTGGCTTGTTTTGATGACCCCCCTCCCCTTTTTCGATAATGAATACTACATGTGTACACAATTATTTTCCTTTTCATTGTTTACATTGTTATTTAACTAGGAACTGCCGAAGTACCTCAGAGGTTACCACAAGTGTACTAAAGAAGAGGCTGCACAACTAGGGGCACTCATTTATAGAGTTTTACATGGAGATGACAAGAGCAATCTCGCCAAATTACAGTAAGTTTATCTAACATTTATAGTCTCTGGGTCAGTACAGCAAAAATAATAATGCCAAATTACAGTCAGTTTATCTGACATTTATAGTCTCTGGAGTCAGTGCAACAAGAGCGATTCCTGTCAGTTTATCTGACATTTATAGTCTCTGGGGTCATGTATCATTGCAGTCTTGCAAAATTACAGTAAGTTTATATCTAACATTTATAGTCCCTCGGTCAGTGCAGCAAAAGCAATCTCGCCAAATACAGTCAGTTTATCTGACATTTATAGTCTCTAGGGTCAGTGTAACAAGAGCAGTTTCACCAAATTCCTGTCAGTTTATCTGACATTTATAGTCTTTGGGGTCATGCATCATTGCAGTCTTGCAAAATTACAGTAAGTTTATCTAACATTTATAGTCTCTGAGGTCAGTGCAGCAAGATCCATCTCGCTAAATTACAGTTTGTCTGACATTTATAGTCTCTGAGGTCAGTGCAGCAAGAGCCATCTCGCTAAATTACAGTTTGTCTGACATTTGTAGTCTCTGGGGTCAGTGCTGATGCAGCCTGGGATTTCTCTCTTCCTCTAATAGCAGCCATTGAAATGTTATCTGTTTGGTTAATCATATTAACTCCATTACAGCTTACCTGTTGAATCCTTTAAAACATCAGCAAAAAAGTAGCTCATCTTGCAGAGTTCATATCTCCACGTTACAATGATTGAAGCACAACTTAAGAATTAGCAAAACTTGTGAAACAGCTTCTTACTGGACAGCCTAATGAACCCAGCACAGAATATGATTAGAATTTCTTCTTCCTCTTCTTCTTTGTTCAGCGGCTGTGAACTCCGGCGGAAGGTCCTTATTCTGATTTTTTTGTAATTTAGCTTTGCGCCAGGGCCTGAGTTAATTTTTATATCAGTTTTACTGGTTTATGTATGTGCACTTGGTTGTTCCTTGCCACTTGGGCAGATGCGCTGTCGCTTCAGAGGAAACTTCCAGTTAGTCGACTTTTATGACATGCTTTGTGTGTGTAGGCAGTGGGTCTAATCTTGTTTTTCTTCACCATGGGTCTTCGAAACTCACACGGGGAGACATAATGTATTCACTTGGTGGAATACCTGTCTCAAATGTTTTCATCTGAATCTGTGGTGTAGAATTTTTTGTTGTTTTGTTGATAAAGAATTTGGTTAAAATGTTGGGTTGTATCAGTGCATGTCTTTTTTAGAAATGTGTTGAACATCCTAGTCATGTTTTGTTGCATTCATTTAGTTGTTGGCATCAGCTCAACTGCAGTTACTGCTATTGTTGGTACCATTCTTACAGAACAAAATGGTTGAAAGATCACCGTGAAAATATAATCAATGTTGCTTATTAAGGATGATTTCACAGAATTTTGCATCACAATAATAGATTAAGAAAAGGACTTTACCTGAAATACAAAAAGACAAACATTTGTGTAACACTAAGAAAAAAAAAATCAGATAATACCAAAATTGATGGTACAATTGATGGCTGTAGGAGTGACCATAAGAGATAAGATCAGAAATGAGATCATAAGAGAACAAGTCGGCACAGAACCAATTCTGGATTACATACAAAGACAGCAAGTGAAATGGTTTGCCCACTTAGAGAGAATGCCTTGTGACACCATACCATACAAAGCATACATGGGAAGAGAAGAAGGACGTAGAGCATGGGTTAGACCAAGAACAGGATGGAAAGATAACATCAGAGAAACTCTACAACAGTACGATGTGCCTATGGTCGAGGCAGCCAGAAGAGCTAGAAACAGAACCTTATATCTCCCTCGACACCCACAGCGGTACAAGAGGAAATGAAGAAGAAGAAGATGGTACAATTCAAAGAGTAATCAAGTAAATAAATTGATATCTTTGTGGTTAGTCACAACATAGGATTGAAGATGTGTGGGAAACTTAAGACATGATAGACCAAGTTAATTGCCTATCTTTTACAGGACGTTGCAGAACCAACACCAGCAATTGTTTGGCTGTTGTGGTTTTTCTTAGGCAAATTTACTTTCAGTAGTTTGCCTTCAATAAACTGTCTAACATCTGGAAATCAAAGACACTTAGCAAACACACAAAACTCAAGATCTTCAATTCTTGTGTGATTCCAGTACTAACCTATGGATGCGAGAGCTGGAAATCAACGAAAACTCTAGACACAAAATTAGACAGTTTTGAAAATAAATGCCTTAGAAGAATACTAAATTTCAAATGGTCAGATTTCCGAACCAATACACAAATAAGGCAAGAATCCAGGCAAGAGTATGTGTCTAATTTTATACGAAAACGCCGCTGGAACTATGTCGGCCACGCCCTTAGAATGGATAAATCAAGACTTCCTTACCAAGCCCTCATTTGGACACCACAGGGGAAAAGATCTCGTGGAAGACCAAGGGAAACCCTACGTAGAACTATCATCAGGGAAGGCTCGCTCATGGGCCACTCAAACATCCAAGACCTACAACGGATTGCAACGGACCGCCGTGCATGGAGAGTCGCGACCTCTGCCCTATGTGCCGCACTCGACACAAGAGGAAAGACTAACTAACTAACTAAGTTTGTCATTGCTTTCTGGACAGTCAGCTCTTGGTACCACCGTTGAAATGAATGCAAGACTGCTGCCAAATTCCAGCAACATTACAAAGTGCATTCAGTATGCCTAAGCCTCAGACACCAAAAGAAAGTGTAACTTCAGAAGGGGAAAAAGTATTTATGCCATTTGTGCTCAGATGCAAAAGTCAGTTTCCTCAAAATCATTCATCAGTGGCCTACATTTGGCTCAGTGTTCTTTGATGTTAAGGTATGGTGAGATCCATTACAGAAATAGAACATTAGATTTTCTCAGTCCTCCAATGCAGCAGCAGTCACTCCATGTTATCTCAGCTAATTGTTCCCATGAGAAGTTAGATATAATTTCTCCTATCTTGGCTTTGAAGGCGGCATAGACGTGCTTCTGGCTCGGTTGCCGATCATCTGATAGACTGCGACGCCTAGCGGCACAAGCAGATTTTGACAAAAGAAGAAAGAAGAAGAAGAAGATAGACGTGCTTCACCCTGTTTTACTCCCATGTCACTCAGTGGTATTAGTATAGGAGATTTGTCATTATCCACTAGTGCAGTCCGTACATATCTGCTGTGTCCAAGCTCTTTCCCACATGCATTGGTGCATTGCTTGCCAGTTGGTCTGCTCGATCATTACCCTTTACACCTACATACCCAGGTGTATAAATCCCAGTGAAGGAGATGCACCAGTGTCAGATCTGTGCGGCCATTTAACATTAATCTTGGAATGTGAGTAGGAAAGAAACCCCCTGACAGGAATAGCTTAGACACACTGATGTGATTACTAATCTGTATTTATGGGATTTCTCAACAGAGATATGTTGCCACGTCTCATCCCGACTGACTTAGTGAAGGCACAGTCAACAGATGACTGGAAAAGGGTAAATTGTTTCTTGTGTATGTGCTTGTATGTGCAGCTGGAGTAGCACAGTTTGTGTTGTCTTTGTGTTATTGTTGCTGTTGAATGTTTGTATCAGAAAAGGATAGTATGTGCATTATGTTTACTGTTTAGCCTATGATTTGGAGATCATAAGTGTACGTTTGTGTGTGTTGTAAGTAAGTAGTAAAGTAAAGTACAGGACTCATTTTCATGCCTCCAGGTGTGTTGGGCATATAGGGGTAGACCTATATTTTATAGACCAATCAGCACTTGGGGGAGGGGGGGGTGATGTGCTCAGCATTATGCCAGCCACCTTTACTTCCCAAAGCTGGGTCGACCTGCTAGCTAAGGGCATAAAAAAAAAAGTCTGGTTCTGCCAGGACCTGAATCCATGTCCTTCCGATCCGCAAGCGAGCGACTAGTCTCTACACCACAGCGACTTCCGTCGCAGATACGACCGCAACATTTTTTTTGTTAAATGCATGTTGTTGCATGTCTGACTGGGAGATAAACAAGGAAAATTTTTGTTCACTGTTAAGACTCTTCTGTGGTCGATTGAGTTTTGTAACTTGCTTTTTCTGTGATGCTAACCGCAAGTCCAGCCATACCCTTAATTGACCCTTATGTTATGCCTGACAGGGTGAAGTGTTTCTGTTATATACTTTCTATTAGACAGTATCAATTCAGGTGATGATATTTAATCTGGCGTATATCTATTTAAAAAACTGAAAATTTCAACATTATATTATTTATATGAAAATTACTGTTAATTGTTAAATTTTTTCACATTTTAGTCCAAAATTTAGAAATGTATACTTAAAATATTTTTTCACAATTATTGAACAGGCAATTATCTCTGCCTACAACAAAGATGCTGGAATGAGTTCTAACGATGCAAAAGTCAGTTTCCTCAAAATCATTCACCAGTGGCCTACATTTGGCTCGGCATTCTTTGATGTTAAGGTACAGTGAGATCCATTACATAATCAGAATATTACATTTTCTCAGTCTCTTCAGTAGTTATTTGTTATTTACATTTAAATGCATTGCCAGCTGAGACAACATATCACTTCCTCTAAGACGGTCCCAAATAGAACATATCAAGTCAAAACCTCTGGCCAAGAGAAACAAGACTGGAAGCCAAACTTTACGGGTCGCTGAGTGAATTAAAAAGACAGCGAAGTTCACACTCGAGACAACATTGCAGATGTAGATAATTTATTTCAAACAAATGAAAGAAGAAGAAGAAGAAGTATTTACCTGTTGTGTTTTCTTGATTGTTTTTTATTTTCTCACATATCTTTTAGAGATAACTAGCATAAATAACTGTTACAGAAAATAATTATAGCAACCTCCAGATGTGAGTCATAGACTGGCAGTCATCATGAGGGATGGAAAGAAATGGTACTTTTGACTCTTTCAGTACTAACCAACCCACCTTACATTCCTTGAACATTTCAAAGATAATGTGTTATCCTTGCATGTAAAGGGACCTTTACATTAAACATTGTAATCACCTGGAAAGAATGGTAGGGGAGGGCATCAAACTGGATAAGAAAGCCAGAAGCTGACCACCACGAAACTGGGCATAAGATATTGGAGACACTGTGGGCAGGAAACATTCCCAGAATACCATGGAACAAGAAGAAGAAATGTTGACATCCTGCGTGACCTGAACACCTGTCTGGCTGTGGTTCTCCCCAAAACTCAGGTATGTTGGTCTTGACAAGAGAATAGTGATGGCGGGTGAAGTTTCTGCAGGGCAGAGGTCAACTTCTGCAAAACATGGATACAGTATGTTGAAGATGCATTGGATGTGAAAGCACACAGGGCTGGAGAATTGGTTAGCGAAAGAGAGACTTTCGGGCGTGCCATGAAGAGGGTGACATTCTATAAAGTATATGCTGACTGGTTGATGAGTGCAGAATATTGCATGAGGCAGGAGAGCAAGCCAGGGACCAAGTTTATTTCAAGTAAGCTCTGATGCAAAGAGTGTTCTGTAAAGGATCTGGAACATGATGATGATGTTGATGAAATATTACAGATTATTAATATAGATCCCTTATAAATAACTATTGGAGATAACAGTTATAAATAACTGTGATATATAACATAAGGTGCATTGTTTGAAACAGAATAAGTTGACAGTAAATGACAACCCAGAGAGGAAGTCAGGCACTAAGCTCTCACATTTAGGAGTTAAAATATTGTTATGAAACATCTTCTGGTCAGTTTATACAGTTCTGTGTTCCCTCCTGCAGCAAACCACAGAGCCAAGTTATCCGGAGAACCTGCTCATTGCTATCAACAAGAATGGTGTCAACCTTATACATCCCCAAACAAAGGTACCATAACATATGCAAGTTGTTGCTACAACATGCATCTTCTCCTGTAGATTTGTTTCTGATGTTTAAGTCTGTCACTTGCTTATCTTGTCTTTTCCTTTGGCTTTAAACTTCTTTTACTTTGTATTTATTTTCTTGTGGTGTGAAAGACAATGAAAAGGCAGATGCTCTTTCAGGCAAAATCACTCAGAGAAGTGGACCTTTCAAGGCTAGGAAGGGCTTAATTAACAACCTACAAGAGACAACATGTGCTCATGAACTCAAACATGAAGATACTGATTTCTTCCTGATCAGATGCAGTCTTCCTCTTCTTCTTCTTCTTCTTCTTCTTCTTCTTCTTCTTCTTCTTCTTCTTCTTCTTCTTCTTCTTCAGCATTCTGAACCCTTGAGGTTCATTGCTTCTGATATCACCCGCCTCCATTCATCTCTCTGGTTGGTCTTCTCTTCTCTTTCCAGTTGGTGACACCAAGTGTTTGCAGGTCTGTCTGGATATGATCTCTCCATTTTCTTCTTGGTCTGCCTCGGGTCTACTACCATTCACCTCCCAGTTTTTACTTCTCTGTCATCCGACATTCTTTCAATATGCCAAAATCATTTCAGTCTTTTAGCTCTCATCATGCCAGTGATCAGTGGTGATTTAAACACATTGTGAATTTCATTTTTGCTTCTCACTCTCCATTCACCGCTGTTTGCATCTTTGATGCGTCCAAAGATTTGTCATAAGATTCGTCGTAAGACTATGTTTTAGAAAACCTGTAATAAGGCTTCTTTTTTAGTTGTGCTCCAAGTTTCAGAGCCATGTAGAATGATTGGTCTTATCAACGTTTTATATATTTTGATTTTGATGTTGTGAGATGCAAAGAATGGGCATATCAAATAAAGTAGTGCATGGTTTGATTCCAGCTGCAGATAGTTTAGCAGTGGATTGGTTGGCATTGATTTTGACAGTAGTGTGGAGTGTTAACCCTTTAGAAAGCAATGGCAAACTACTGAACATAAAATTGCCCAGTGAAATCACAAACAGCCAAAGAAATGCTCAGACTGGTTCGGCAGTGTCCTGTAAAGGATGCACAGCTAACTTTATTCTATGTTGGGGGTGATTTGATGAAAAACACTGATGCTATAACCATCTTGTTTAATGCTTCTTCTTTCCTAGTCCTGATCTTCCTTTCAGCATCAGGTCTTGAAGAGGCATCTGGCATGAGCATTGGTATGTCCTACAAAGATGCTGGTCTTTGTGGCTTTGGATATTCTGTCTATCCATTGTTTGGGTGGTTAACCTCTGGGACTGCATCCTTTATGTCTAAGTGACAGAGCTTTCTGTAGAGCGCCATCTGGTGGTAGTCTGGAAACATGTTTAGACCATTTGATTTGATGACTGTTGATACAGGTTAATGCTGGTTCTGTCCCAAGTTGTTTAATGATATTTAACTTCTGATCGTGTCTCTCATTTAGAATTTGTCAAAGACATTTAGTTTATTAGATGAAGTAAAAGCCTCTTTGTTTATTGTAATGAGTAGTTTAGTTTCATCAAAGTTAAAAATGTCTTTGATTAAAGGGTGAATATTTTGGTTTGTTTAATAAGCCACACTCAGCGTCATTAATAACTGACCAAAAAAAAAATTATATTAAAAAACATGTTTATAATGAACTAAGACTTAATATGAATAAAATAACCCCAGAAGAAGGATTATTTTTTAATTTTACTGTTTGCTGTTCAAGAACGGTGAGGATTTATTAACTCTTTGAGTCCCAGGGGGTTTAGCATCACAGGCCTGAGCGGTAGTCAAGATAGACAAAAAATCAGCGCATCTTGCGTTCATTGGGCTTCTAGGTAGGAATCTATGAACGTATGATGCGTTCCTTAGGACTCAAAGAGTTAATACCAAGGCAACAGTAAAGCTTAGAAGTAATTTAAAGGAACAAATACAGATTTAAGAAAAGTGGTTTCTTTTTCTTCTTATAGTCCATACCATGTAGCAGTGGTAGTCATGAGTGTCTACAGCATTCTTCTTGTGTACTTTCACTCAGTTTTGACACCAGTGATATTCCGTGCCATGATGTGAAACTATCCAGCATCGTCTCTGTCAGTCTTCTTCCGCCTAGCATCTTTACAATGTCAGCAGAAGTATGTTTTTCTGAAGAAAAGTGCTTGTATTTTAAATGAATTTTCTCTTTAAGATCATTTTACAAAACAAAACAAAAACAACAAAAGAAAAGAGAAACACTTTCTGCCAACTTTTAACACTGCTTCATTTATCCTAATTGTGATTCATATGTGGTCCGTCTGTTGTTCATCTGTGGTTCATCTGTGTTTCATGTGTGGTTCATCTGTGTTTCATGTGTGGTTCATGTGTGTATGTAATTCTGACAGGAGTTGCTGGCCACTCATGCCTTCTCTAAGATCTCAAACTGGAGCAGTGGAAACACTTACTTCCACATGACCATCGGAAGTCTGGTCAGAGGAAGCAAGCTTCTCTGTGAGACCTCCATGGTAAGTTTTGTTTCTGCACATTAGTTTCATGTACAATTTTGTTAATGTTTTTAATTTTACCACTTCATTAATTTGGTCTCTGTAAAAAATTAGGATATTTTAAATTTATTTATTTAAAAAGAAAGAAAAACACCATATGTACAATCAGAACAGGGAAGGTTGGCTGTAGTAGATATTTTCTTCTGTCTTCTTCTTAGCATTCACAAGCTGTAAAATATGATATAAAGTTCTGGTTGTTCATCCACTCCTGGACTTTGGTCTTGATCCAGAACTTAAATTTTGCATGCACAGCTGTTTTACAGATCTGGCTTATTTGTATGCAGACTGTTGGTTTTTGGCCTATAAGGTAGATGTACTCTGACTATCAAGGAAACTCCCCTAATTAGTTGCCCCCTATGACATGCTTGACAATTCTTTGCCGCCATACTGGAGCCCCAGAACCCACACAGGGACCAGTAGATAGAAGCATCCCCTGCTGACTTGTTATGAGGTGAGGTCCATGTCTTTTCAACAGTGCGCCTCTCATAACACAAAGCCACAAGAAATTTTTGCTTCTAAATCCACTGCTCTGGGAATTAAACCCTAAGAATATTGAGGGATATGAAAAATATTCACTGTACATTGAGGAATGTGAAATGTGTTTACTGTACAATGAGGATGGGAAAATATTTTAACTGTACATTGAGGAATGTGAAATGTATTCACTGTAATTTGAGGAATGTGCAGTGTATTCACTGTACAGTGAGGATTGTAAAATACATTCTCTGTACACTGAGGAATGTGAAATGTATTCCTTGTACACTGAGGATTGTGAAATGCATTCTGTGTACACTGAGGATTGTGAAAAGCATTCACTATACACTGAGGATTGTGAAAAGCATTCACTATACACTGAGGATTGTGAAATGCATTCTCTGTACACTGAGGATTGTGAAAAGCATTCACTATACACTGAGGATTGTGAAATGCATTCTGTGTACACTGAGGATTGTGAAGTGCATTCACTGTACTCTGAGGATTGTGAAGTGCATTCACTGTACTCTGAGGATTGTGAAGTGCATTCACTGTACTCTGAGGATTGTGAAGTGCATTCACTGTACACTGAGGATTGTGAAGTGCATTCACTGTACTCTGAGGATTGTGAAGTGCATTCACTGTACTCTGAGGATTGTGAAAAGCATTCACTATACACTGAGGATTGTGAAGTGCATTCACTGTACTCTGAGGATTGTGAAGTGCATTCACCGTACAGTGAGGATTGTGAACTGCATTCACTGTACTCTGAGGATTGTGAAAAGCATTCACTATACACTGAGGATTGTGAAGTGCATTCACTGTACTCTGAGGATTGTGAAGTGCATTCACCGTACAGTGAGGATTGTGAACTGCATTCACTGTACACTGAGGATTGTGAAATGCATTCACTGTACACTGAGAATTGTGAAATGCATTCTGTATACACTAAGGATTGTGAAATGCATTCACTATACACTGAGGAATGTGAAATGCATTCACTGTACACTGAGGATTGTGAAATGCATTCACTGTACACTGATGATTGTGAAATGCATTCACTGTACACTGAGGATTGTGAAGTGCATTCACTGTACACTGAGGATTGTGAAGTACATTCACTGTACACTGAGGATTGTGAAATGCATTCTGTGTACACTGAGGATTGTGAAATACATTCTCTGTACACTGAGGATTGTGAAATACATTCTGTGTACACTGAGGATTGTGAAATACATTCTCTGTACACTGAGGAATGTGAAATGCATTCACTGTACACTGAGGATTGTGAAATGCATTCACTATACACTGAGGAATGTGAAATGCATTCACTATACACTGAGGAATGTGAAATGCATTCACTGTACACTGAGGATTGTGAAGTGCATTCACTATACATTAGGGAATGATTTGAAATGCATTCACTATACATTGCCAACATTATGTTGATGGCAGTGTCTTGATAACAATAAGTCATTTAAAAAAAAAACTACAGGGAATGATAGATAACATTGCTGGTAAAACATGAAAAAATGGGCCTCATTTTGAATAATGGGAAGACAGAGGTATTGTTGATTTCCAAGAAAAGATCAGTGCCTAAGTGTATAATGAAAGTCAAAGACATTATTTTAGGACAAGTACAGCAATTTAAGTATCTAGGCACATGGATAACATCCGAGGGAAGGTGTATCATAGAGATAAAGAACAGAGAGAGAGAGATTCTCTCTTGTTATATAGAGCCAGTTTTAACATACGGCTGTAATTCCTAGAAATTAATAAACAAGCCAAACAATTGAAACCTCGGAGATGTCGTTTTGCAAAAGAACCCTTAGAATTTCTTGGGCGGCCAAAAAGAGCAACCTAGATATTTTGAAAGAGGTGAGAACTTGGAGACAACTTATCACAAATGTCAGAAAGAGACGGTCATCATTTTTAATCACATTATAAGAAGAAGAAAACTAGAACATATTGTGACCACAAGAAAAATCTATGGAAAGATAGACAGAGAAAGACAGCAGAAGACAATTATTGACAGCCTTTTGCCATGGCAGGGAGGGGTGTCAACACACAAACAGATACACACAGTTGCAAATTGTGGAGAGGCATTATCACCACACCAGTCCCCTTGGCATTTAATGATGATGATGATGGCTAGTGCTGTCGCCATGGACTGTGAAGATAGGATTTTATTTTGCTGCCAACAGGAAAATAAATCCTTGATCTTACAGAGTATTCGAACTAGGTCTCTCAAATCAGAGCCCAGCAGTCTTAACCACTCTGCCAGCTGCACCTCTACTTAGTTTTTATGAAAGTTAAAAATGAACATCCCATCCTGCACAATTCTTGGTGACTGCACGAGTCCTGCAGTCTTAAATCCTCAGACTCAAGACCCTCCCCCCCCCCCCCCTTCCCCTCCTCTCCCTTCCACTATAGGGTTGCCAGATTTCATTTTTTCCAGACTCTTCTGTTTTTTCTGTTCTTGCTTAACTTTTGTTCCAATGGAGTAAGTTTAGTATGTTGATTATGTATATTTTATAGCCTGTTGATAGTGAAAAATGTTGATATAAACAAAAAATGAGTCATCACTCCTATTTTTATTTTAGAAAATCTGGCAACCCTAACCCAGCATGCCCTAAAGATTGTACATACTGGTAGTAACCATTTCTTTCTTTAATGAAAGTTAACACTCTTGAAATTGATAGTAAATAAACTCAGACATTTTTTTAATTTCAGGGTTATAAAATGGATGACCTTTTGACCTCCTATATCAGCCTCATGTTGAACACTTTAAATCGAAGAGGAAGAACATAGATGCCACCTCAAGCATCGCCTGGTTCTCACTGTACAATCATTCATGGTTCTCTTAGATTATTCATGACTTTGAAATCATTCATGACTCTCAAATATCTCTCATGACAATATACTACATCACTTCTGACTCTTGCAAATCATTCCTGAATCTCCCAGACTCTCAGAGATCTCATGACAATATACTACATCACTTCTGACTCTTCCAAATCATTCCGGAATCTCTCAGAGATCTCATGACAATATACTACATCACTTCTGACTCTTTCAAATCATTCTGGAATCTCTGAGATCTCATGACAATATACTACATCACTTCTTTCAAATCATTCCGGAATCTCTCAGAGATCTCATGACAATATACTACATCACTTCTGACTCTTTCAAATCATTCCGGAATCTCTCAGACTACGCCAGACACTGATAAAAACACCATGTCTCTTGGATCTACAAAACCAGTTCCCCACCACTCCTGATTCTCCCAGGTCACCTTTGACTCAGAGATCACACATGTAACACCTCATACACCTTAAGAATACTGATTTAAATCACACGTGACTCCCAAAACACCAACTGCTCTATAAGATGACCCCTAAATTTTCCAGATCGCCCAAAATTCTCTGAGACCACTATGACACACACAATCCCACAAAACTCTTCCAGGTCACACAACATTCACACATATATTGATTTTACCTCTTTCCAGACAATAATCTTATATTGCGCTATGAAAAGGCGAGTATGACTAGCAAGACATGCTCATATTAAGAAAGTCTTCCACAATTATAGCATGGGATTTCAGAACCATTGTTGTCAACATTTGTGTTTAATCTGTTTCTTCTCAGACACTCAGTTTCATCCTTTTTTGTTTTGCAGTCATTTCTTCCTTCATTATCATTCCCTGCCTGTTGTGCCTCCTCCACACAACACAGTCCAGGGCATTTTTTTCCCCACAAGTCCACCTCAATACCTGTATCATTTGTGTCCTGCTTGCACACGTCTTCATTAGAGGGCGGCCTAGATTTCTTCTACCTCCTTAAGGAGGTCATCTTTCTGCCATCCTTCTTCTCCAGGTGTGACCCAGCCACCTGAATCTTCATAGACTGAGCATTGAGAAGACTTTGTAATACCTGCTCTTTCCAATACCTCATTGTTTGAGATCTTGTGTATAATCACACATATACACTTTCAGATAATCCAACATTTACTGATATATAGTAAACTCTCAGATTAGCCAACATTCCCTTACACATATACAATACACCCATTGAACACACACGGATCATCCATGACTCTTGAGAATTGTTAACACTCATTTTCATTATTTCCTACACATCATCTGCCTCCCATGATAGCTTTGCCTTGTAATCTGTTGTTTAATGTAAAAAAAAGTCAGTGTTGCTTTAAAAAAAACTTTTACCATAAAATTTTTTGCTGCATGTGAGTTATAATAATAACGTACACTCTGATAACTACTACATTTAGTTTTTACCTGATTTTCATCCAGAAAGTAGTAAAATGAAATAACAATGGACAGATTGTTGCATGATTGTTTAAGTAGACAAAAAGTTGTTAATAATATTGTCTCATTTGTCATGGATTTACAGTAAGCAAAAGAAAAGTAGATGAATTAAACAATTATTTTTTAATATTCGAAAAAAAAAAAAGATCAGAAAGTTGAACCAAGGACAGAAGCAGACAAGTCAGTGTGCAGGAATATTATCTGTTTTATTATGGATTGGTGCGTACAAACACACACAAATAATAATAAATAAAAATAATACTAAGTGACAATAATAATAATTAACAGCTAAAACAAATCCAGAAAGCAGTTTTGTGTTTTATGGTAGATCTGTGTATGAAATGTAAGCAAAAAACTGAAAAAAAAAAAATATTAGTTTGTAGGTTTTATCATTAGGTGTTGGCAAAATATAGTAAGCCAAAAGAAAGGATCAAAAGGACAAATTGTTTTTTTTTTTCTTCTTTTTATAATAGATTAATTTTGTGCCTTCCTTCTGCTGTTTTAGGCAAAAACTGAACCACTAGCACTGCAGCAAAATGAACCTCAAACAGTTTGACTCTTACAGTTCTGCTACATTTCTGTGCACCATTTTGACAAAATATCACATGTGTAAATGATACAGTAGATACAAGATGTAGCCTGTTGTAGCTTTTTTTACCATTGACGTATACAGTGTATGGATCGTAGCATACATATCTTAGCTCATTCTGTCACTATAAAAATAAAGCCTTGTACATGAAGTATGCATGTTTATATATTAATCAAACTTTGACTCCCTTTCTATTTAGAAGACCAAAATATATTTGTATATATATATTTGTTAATACAAATTGTTGTATATATCCATACATGAACCCCCAAAAAATAACAAATACTTGTCCATTTTGTGAACATAATTGTGTTTTTTGTGTTTGTGAAATTTAATTTTGATTTATATGTTAGAATAATCTCCACATGTCCGTGGTGGATACAATAGCACACTTGCCTATTTCTTGCATGTCTGGAGTTTGATTTTCAAAGCAACATATCATTGGCCTTACTTTGGTGAATGAAGACAATGTATGTAACTATAAAAGGCTAAACTAAAGCCATGGATGCATGGGCAATTATAAAACCTTAAGAAAGACTGAGATTTAAAAGTCGCATTCCTTTAGCACTTTGGTCAATTCCTTATCGTGACTGAGAATCCTGTCACATGACAGCACACAGATTACCAGAAGTGGCTTAGTTAATTAGTTAGTTAGTCTTTTCTCTTGTGTCGAGTGCGGCACATAGGGCAGAGGTCATGACTCTCCATGCATGGCGGTTGGTTGCAATCTGTTGTAGGTCTTGGATGTTTGAGTGGCCCATGAGCGAGCCTTCCCTGATGATAGTTCTACGTAGGGTTTCCCTTGGTCTTCCACGAGATCTTTTCCCCTGTGGTGTCCAAATGAGGGCTTGGTAAGGAAGTCTTGATTTATCCATTCTAAGGGCGTGGCCGACTTAGTTCCAGCGACGTTTTCGTATAAAATTAGACACATACTCTTGCCTGGATTCTTGCCTTATTTGTGTATTGTTTCGGAAATCTGACCATTTGAAATTTAGTATTCTTCTAAAGAAGTGGCTTGAAGGAATGCAATTGGTTGACACCTTTGACATTTTCTAGACAATAGTTTTTTATTGTGCTATAGGGCAGCATAAAGGCAACACAGCCTGGAAACACAAGCCACATATTTGATCTATCTGGACTAATGAAGTCTTTCATACAGGAGCCACTCTGGATTAGTTAGTCTTTTCTCTTGGGCCTAGGGTTGGGCATAGGGCAGAGGTCATAGCTGTCAATGTGTGGTGGTTCGTTGCTACATGTTTTAGCTCTTGGATGTTCATTAGGCCTATGGTTAAGCTTACCCTAATGAGTGTTCTATGCAGGGTCTCTCTTGATCTTCACCGTTTTCTTTTTTTTTTCCGTTCCTGTGTCCATATGAGGGCTTGATGGGGAAATCTTGTCTTATCCATTCTGAGTGCAAGGCCAATGTAGTTCTAGCGGCACTGCTAGGTCTCTTGTCTTATTTGCATTTTGGATCTGAAATCTGTCTAGTGGAGATTTAGTATTCTTTTAAGACATCTGTTCTCAAAATTGTCTTTTTTTTTTTTTTTTTAATTTAGAGCTAGAATTGCCTTCCAACTCTTGCATCCATAAGTTATCCCTGGAATCACACTCAAGCACTGGAGCCTCTCTAAAGGGCATTAATTCAGTATGGGATGATTGTCTTGCATCTTAAGTGATGCTTGTTATTTAAAGAGATGAAAGTCATTAGGGTTTAAAGAGGTAACTTTCTGGGGAAGAAAAGTTTGCTTGTTGTCTAGCGTGTTAGCAACCAAGAACTTTCCTTCAGCTTTATTATTGCGGAACAACATGACATATTGTATTTGTAGCGGACTTTAGTAAAGTCTTTACTTATTTAATCAGTTATTCATTCCTTTATGCAAAGCATTCTAAGGTATTCTTGAAGACAAAAATTTGAAAGCTTTTGAAGATGCAGTTGGTTTGTAGAGATGTCTTTTTAGCTATTAGTGGTATGTCTAAACTTAAGTGCAGAGCTTTTCAAACCTTTTCATGCTGGTGACACACTTTTTAGACAAGCGTAATTTTGCCACACAGTAATGCATGTGGACATGTGTCCTGACTACCCCCAGATAGCTCACCACAGAGAGCCCTGTCATTAGACATAACAGAAGCAGAGCAAAAGGTCGGCCATGCAAGCGATGAATAGATGGAACATCTGAAGCTGTAAAATGCAGCATCTGTATAGTTCAAAACAAGGCTCAATGATTTAGCTAGCATTTCTTCAGATAAACTAATCAAGATGCAATGAGTAATTGTACTTCATATATTTAGTTTAAAAAAAAAAAAAAAATGGCAACATGTTTGTATTTACAGAACGTGCCTTTTTGGTAATTGTGAAAATAAGACACTTATGACTATGTTGTTTTTGTTATGTCCTCATCAGGCAATTGCTATCACCTCCTAAGACTTAAGGAGATACAGGGTCACTTTCAGCATATATCTCACATGTACACACATAAGTCACACAGAATATATGTAGAAATCACACATAATGGTTCATTTTTAGCAGTTCAATTTGTGTGAATACATAAAATTGTTACATTATATCCTGTTTGACCTGAATTTTTCTACCAAAAAAAAAAAAAAACAACAACAAAAAAAAAAGGCAAGAGTCAAATAATAAATTTTTCTGATTGAAAAAGTTGTACAGTTCATTTTAAGCAATTCAGTTTGTGTGAATACATGAAATTATTACATTGTATCCCATTTTTGTAATAATTTGCAGAATTGATCTGTCAAGAGGATGTAGTGAAAGTACCTAAGTAGTGGATCTTTTTTGTAGTGAATCAGATTTAGTACATTCCACTTAATTCTATCATTATATTCATCTTCAATGTTATTTATGTTTGGACAAGACATTCTCAGTTCTCCTAC